GATGAGACTCATAGTCCGTACAATTGTAAGGAACAATATAATATATTGATAATAAACATGATAAAACAATGTTAACTTTTCTTTAGTATGTTACACATCAACAGATCCTACAAGTATAATAAACCTAATGAGTAAATATATTAGTTAATTTTTTTTTTAAATGTATCTTTTTTATATAGTTCCTTTTTAAAGAAAAAGGATATAAAGAATATAACAATAAAATATGCCTGTTTAAAAAAAACTCTTTCGGTGATAATGGAATAAATAAAATTATATGTAAACCCTAATAATATTCAGCTCTTAATAATAACAATAATAATCCTGACCGCACATAATTTTAAAAATGTACTATGATGATGATGATGAATTATTCTTCCAGCTCAAGCCCGAGCATTCAAATCGTTCACTCCCTACTTCAATACTACTTTACTGAATAACTTAAATCACTTATTGGAATATCAGATTTATATTAATAAGAGTACGCCGGATGATATGTGGGACAAAATAGAAGTAGAGGATTTTAAAATTGTTTTAAGTAATGTAGATCGTATCTATATTATGAAATATTATAATATGTTAACAGGTAACGATAAATTGCTTCTTTTCGTACGCATGAAGTACAAGGATAAATATGTCTTTGCCCGTCTGTTTATAAGATGCGAGGAAACTGCTAGTGACGAATGGACAGGAGATGGTGATATTTATTTTACTACAAACGCTGATTTTTTTATCATAAAATAAGAAGGGAAATATCTATTGAGAGACATGATTTTCGAAAAGCCCTTGAAAGTGACGGTTATATCATCTCTAGGGTAGTAAAGAATAAGTATAACAACGAAGCTTTAAATATGGATTGATACCGACGATAATGACACGATATTTAGTGATAGCTATAACAGTGATACCGATGATAGTAATCATTATGACTCGATGACATAGAGTTCTTAGTTGAGCTCTTATATTATATTCGTAAATGTATAATCATACTAAAATAAAAAATATATTTTTTATTGCAAGATAATTTTGTATTATTATAACTGATCATTGACTGACATTTTTTTATTAGAGACTGTTTTATAAGAACTTGACTTGAGATATTTACCCCCATCTTCCTCTTACTCCACTTTTTATTTTTCTAATACTATGTTATTGATGGTGGAATAGACGGGAAATAAACATTAGGGTAATATTTACTCTCAAGCTCTTTTTTCTTCTTTAAACATTCCTGATAAAAATATTCACAATATTTATTTTCTGAAGACATATAAGATTTGGAAATCTATTAGCAAGGTATTTGAACACGAGACCTCTTCATGTGTCGGTAGTACAATCAAGACCTTCATGTTCATTCTCATGTTCTATGGCATTATCATTCTCATGTTCTATGGCATCATCATTCTCACCAACATCTTTGACTCCTCGACATCCAAAATATGGTATAATATTAACAAATGTCTTACATATCTACTTGCCTATATTCGCTAATAATACTTTTCTTTCGCGTCGATCCTTAATGAAATTATAATCTTGTATTTCTCTGCCGACCAATACCGGTATGTCCGTCTGCGTGGAGTCTTTCCAGAGCGTCTCTCTGTTAGCGGAGACGACTCCCCGACAGAGCTGTTGCAACGACGACAGCTGGCTCCATGATCTCTTAATAGCGTCAATGTTACCGCCTTCTATCGCTCTGCACACTAGTATGTTTTCGTAGATAAAGTCGCGATCCTCCACCTCCCATGTCTCGTTGCGCCAATTGCAAGAAAATATATCCTTGTGGTCGTAATTAGACACTATGTGGTCGAGGAATCGCTGAACACTGTAGGTCACTATGATGCTGCTCTGTAGAGCACACATCTTAAACCTCTTCCACCCCCTCAGTTTACTCATCTGTCTTGTCTCGCATGCATTATTAATATAAATGATTTCCACATATAGGGGTCTCGACTTGTAATTCATTCGAAAGAGCATGCAGAAATCATTATTATTACTTAAAACATATACACGATATTTAGTACTTTGTCGGAGTTGAACAAGAAGTTGCGCAATTCCTCGTCCGTCCACAAACGTAGTTCGTCGAGAAAGGTTAGGGTGACAAATTCGCTTCGATGTTCGGAGATTATCTTTTCAAATTTTTTTGAATAGAACTTTCTGTTAGTGGAATACAAGTATTGGAATGTTCTTACATGATCAACTGATTTACAAAAATAACAAGTAATTGATTCAGGCACCATCTTACAAGAGTTGGTTTAACTATATTGATAGTTCAACAGTGAGTCATTTATTATTTATATCGGGATTTATGGGTTGCACGTTGTATTTATATCTTCCGCCACCACCACCATCATCTCCTTCTCTCCACCCCCCCAATCTTCTCCTCTGTCTCCGGCAGAGATGGAAGAGACGGAAATTGAACATTAGGATAATATTTACTTTCGTGCTCTTTTTTCTTCTGTAAGTGTTCCTGATAAATATGTTCGAAATATTTACTTTTAGAAGGCATATAAGACTTGGAATATCTATTAGCAAGATATTTAAATACGAAACAAAAAGCATTGCGAATAATACCTTCATCAATAAAATATTCTTCATATTCGACTCCTCGACATGAATCCTCTTCCATTTAATAGTAGTTTTCTTTCGCGTCGGTCCTTAATGAAATTATAATCTTGTATTTCTCTGCCGACCAATACCGGTATGTCCGTCTGCGTGGAGTCTTTCCAGAGCGTCTCTCTGTTAGCGGAGACGACTCCCCGACAGAGCTGTTGCAACGACGACAGCTGGCTCCATGATCTCTTAATAGCGTCAATGTTACCGCCTTCTATCGCTCTGCACACTAGTATGTTTTCGTAGATAAGTCGCGATCCTCCACCTCCCATGTCTCGTTGCGCCAATTGCAAGAATATATATCCTTGTGGTTATAATTAGACACTATGTGGTCGAGGAATCGCTGAACACTGTAGGTCACTATGACACTGCTCTTCTGCATCGTCTCGTATATATGTGTTTCTTCAAAGTAAAGAATTTCCACATATAAATGTCTGGATTTGTAATTCATTCGAAAGAGCATACATAAACCATTAATATTACGTGTAACACAATACACGATATCTATTATTTGTCGGAGTCGAACAAATTGCGCAATTCCTCGTCCGTCCAATACAAACGTTGTTCGTCGAGAAAGGTTAGGATGATAAACCTGTCTCTATGCTTGATATTAACTTTATATGAGGTTCGAATATATTCCAATAAAATATCCTATCATCGACATCCCGAAACTGATCTACACATATTAAACGAAATCCTGATTTGAAAAGACTTTTTGATAAAGGTTTCTTGGATAATATTTCATTGGATAAATTTCCATTTTTCATATTTATATATTTATTTTTTTATAGCGTCTCTTGTTGTTAGTGTTATAGCAATCCGTAGTATAGATTTATATACTAATAAATGTCTTACACGTGAAACTTCCATTTAATAGTTTTCTTTCGCGTCGGTCCTTAGTGAAAATATATTCTTGTATTTCCCTGCCGACAAATACCGGTATGTCCATCTGTGTGGAGTCGTTCCAGAGCGTCTCTCTGTTAGCGGAGACGACTCCCCGACAGAGCTGTTGCAACGACGACAGGTGGCTCCATGATCTCTTAATAGCGTCAATGTTACCGCCTTTTATCGCTCTGCACACTAGTATGTGATCGTAATTAGACACTATGTGGTCGAGGAATCGCTGAACACTGTAGGTCACTATGACACTGCTCTTCTGCATCTGTGTTTCTTCAAAGTAAAGAATTTCCACATATAAGTGTCTGGATTTGTAATTCACTCGAAAGAGCATACATAAACCATTAATACTACGTGTAACATAATACACGATATCTATTATTATGTCGGAGTCAAACAAGTTGTGCAATTCTTCGTCCGTCCAATACAAACGTTGTTCGTAGAGAAAGGTTAGGATGACAAACTTGCCTCGATGCTTGAAGACACTTTAACCGAATCTTTCTTTACCTTATAATACACTCGCGTTCACGCAAATTACCAAACGGTGACGATGATGATAATATCGAATTGATTAAGCATATGTTATAATTTCTGCATACAGAGACTTCTTATGTTTTATTGTAAAATTCTATAATATTTTAATCGTTCCTCTTCATCATCTCGTTTGGGAATATAATAATTAGTTAACATGACAAATAAAATATTCATCATATTACTATACAGGACTTCCTATGGGTATTGCTACTGATCCGGCTGTTGCACCTGAACCGCATTTGGATTAACAGGATCTGGATTAGTGGCCACAGAATTCAAAATTTGCTGCTCTTGTAAGTAATATGGGTTAGTATAGACAAATATACTAACATTTACAGTGTCACTATCAGAAAAAAATACGTGATTGGGTGCATGAACCCCTTTAATAAAATGATTACTTTTTCCTAACAAATATGCTATAGCGTTTTCAAAGTTGTTTTTTACAGACCACCTGATTGCATTACAGCGAATTTCTTTATTAGCGGCATTCTTATTAGCACTGGGTTTGTTATTGTAGCTAACATGGTAAGGATATTCTTCACAAGTTTTTCTTATAAATTTTGAATATTCAAATACCATTTCGGTGATTTCTATAATATTTTTTTTTTCTTCAAGTATATATTCACATGTATGTTAAATAAATAAAAAAAATGTTCACATTTACTTTTGTATCACTTGATAATTTGTTTACTCTTTTTTTTTACCCAATACATAATAGCAATAATAACAATGTTCCTCCTCTCCCTCTCTGTCTCGACGATAAGTTATTATAAGCACATTATATAGTAAAAGGAAAATATTTAAATCCTATCCTCCTATAGAAATGAGACATTTTTTAATTAATATTTCCAGTTGGGTGTTATAATTATATATACCATAGTCAATACGAGTATCAAGATTAATTGAATATATTGTTCTAGACTGACAAGATAAAGAAAAGAGATAAAAAGAAAGAATGATGAACGATGGAATCAAATACACCTCCTCATCACTCCAGACAAGAATCTTGGAATACGGAATTTAACACTACGACAGAGGGTCTAAAAAATGATCACCTAGAACTTAAAAAGGATATAGCACAAAAAAGGTTTAGTAGCTAAAATTCACCATTCTGTTCCTAGAATTTGTTATATAATATGGGCGATTATGATATATTTATTTTTAGATTTGTTACATATAGTGAGCGACTGTGGGATATTCATCACATCACATTATAAAGGAATCTCTGATAATATTATTAATATTCAAAGATAGATAGAGAGAGACACTATAATGGTTACCATAGATAACGAATTACAATTTGAATATAAACGTCTAGAAACGTTTAAAAATGGAGAATGGCCCTACTGTGAAATAGACCCGGCTCCTTTGGCTAAGGAGGGATTCTGTTATACGGGAAAGAGTGATTGTGTGTCTGTGCTTTTTGTAGAGGAACAGTGAGGTGTTGGAGATCTAAACCTGATGCAGAAATGGAACATTCTCGTCTCTTTCCACTCTGTAAATACGTTTTAGATAAGAACGTAGGAAACGTACCTCTCATGAGCAGCACCTTCTCCTTAACTAAAGGTAACTATAGCACATGCTGTTATGTTAGTTTCTATATATAGTGGTTTATTCATATGTTGATTATATGTTGTAATTATTGTTCTTTTTTTTAGTCATCCGGTCCAATAACACTGAACCGGTGCATGTGAACTTTGTGATGCATCGACAGCGAATGGAATCATTCATGAACTGGCCAAGAGATAAAAAGATACCAAAAGCTGTTGATTTAGCAGAGGCAGGATTTTTACGACCAGCAAAAACTTTAGGTATATTATATTATATTATATTATTATAATAACACACGTATATATGTATATGTATATATATATATATATATATATATATATATATATATATATATATATATATATATATATATATATAAAATATGTATGTATATGTAAACTAATACCTATGTTTTTTTTTTAGAGTTACACGACCTGGTTCAATGCTTTCAGTGTGGAATAAGCTTAGAGAAATGGACAGAGGATGACATACCATGGAATCAGCATGCTTTATGGAACCCATATTGTTCGTATCTTAGGATGGTGAAGGGTGAAGAATTTATCATGGAGGTAATATTAAAGGAAGGGGGGGGTAATTGCATGAGATAAATTTGTATTTATACTCTTGATGATATAAGAGTATATTTTCATTCTACTATATATATATATATATATATATATATATATATATATATATATATATATATATTATATATATATATATATATATTATACATCTATGTTTTATAATAGAATTTATTAGGTTCACAATATGAATTACACGAGAATGTCGACGATATCTGATTCTACATTGAACCAGTAAGATCATCATCCCAGAGATGTCTGCAAAGAAGGAGAACGATTTAGGGATATATATATATATATATATATATATATATATATATATATATATATATATATATATATATATATATATATTAGTTATGGTATGTATTATTAAGTTAGAATATTATTATATTATATAGATAAGACTTATTCATACAAATATATCGAGTTAATATTAGGGTATGTATTATTAAGTTAGAATTATTATTATTCTTATTATAAACATATAGATAAGACTTATTCATATACAAATATATCGAGTTAATATTAGTTATGGTATGTATTATTAAGTTAGAATTATTATTATTCTTATTATAAACATATAGATAAGACTTATTCATATACAAATATATCGAGTTAATATTAGTTATGGTATGTATTATTAAGTTAGAATTATTATTATTCTTATTATAAACATATAGATAAGACTTATTCATATATATCGAGTTAATATTAGTTATGGTATGTATTATTAAGTTAGAATTATTATTATTCTTATTATAAACATATAGATAAGACTTATTCATATACAAATATATCGAGTTAATATTAGTTATGGTATGTATTATTAAGTTAGATATAGATAGCCTTATTATAAACATATAGATAAGAATTATTCATATACAAATATATCGAGTTAGAGTTAATCTTATTATTATATACGTTGTTAAGTTAGAATTATTATTATTATAGACTTATTCATATACAAATATATCGAGTTGTTACTGTTATTTTGTTTTCTTTAATCATTTATAAAGCGATAAGTAAAGGAGAATTAAAAAAAAAAAGAAAGACCATAGTAACTATACAATAATACAAAGTCAGCTGTTATGAACTCTATCATCATAAATATTCAGTTGCATGTTAGTTCATCAATCCAAGAGATCGGCTTCTTTTATAAAACGGGTTTTTCGTAGTATAACCTATAGCTTTTACAGTTTCAGTAATGTATTTCGTACGTTTTCTTATGTTACAGGGTATACTTCGAAAGACCCGTTTTTATCTAACCTTTGGAGTCGCATTTCTCAAGGAAAGATCAATCTTCGCCCATTCCACTTACAACATACACAAAACATGTAAAACACCGTCTTATTTAGTTGACTAATGAGAGAAAAAAGCGAAAGTGTAGCGGTAATTTCTCGGAGATCGTATGTATTCAACCTCTCAGAATACAGATTCATATATGCGATGTTTCGATAAATACTCTTTTTACATTATATTTACTTGTCAATATTGAACAATTTAACATGTTTCTATACATATTATGAGTAGAAAAAGAGCGGAGATCAACCTCTCCTTCAATGATAATGTAGCACATGCATTCCAGAGTAATGACGTCACACGCATTCCAGAGTGCTGACGTCAGAGATACAGAAAATAGCGGTTTGTTGGGAGTAAACGACTATATTCATAATACACCTATCTTTTATTTTTACATAGAACATGTCCTGTGAATTCTGAATATAAAACACCGTCTTTTTTAGTTGTTTACGAGAGAAAAAAGCGAAAGTGAAAGCGAAAGTGTAACGGTAATTCTCGGAGATCGTGCGTCATCGATCTCTCAGGATACAGATTCATATATACGATATTTCGATAAATACTCTTTTTACATTATATTTATTTGTCAATATTGAACAATTTAACATTTTTACATATTATGAGTAGAAAAAGAGCGGAGATCAACCTCTCCTTCAATGATAATGTAGCACATGCATTCCACAGTAATGACGTCACACGCATGACGTCAGAGATACAGAAAATAACGGTTTGTTGGTAGTAAACGACTGTATTTATAATACACCTATCATTTATTTTACATAAAACATGTCCTGTGAATTCTGAAGATAAAACACCGTCTTCTTTAGTTGTCTAACGAGAGTCGAAATAATAGTGAATTTCTCGGAAGACATGACCCCATCCCGAAACCACCCCAAGTCAGTTACAAGAAAACCGGCATTAGGTGTAATCTTCTAATTTTCTCAGATCTCTTAGCTTCTAAGTCAAAGGTTCTAATTCTCAGCTATCAGCTCATGTTGATCACTTATACGGATACAGATTCATATATACGATATTTTCGATATAAATACTCTTTTACCTTATATTTGCGTTAGTCCACTATTGACAATTTATACATATGTCTTAATTTTTACTCATTATAAGTAGAAAAAGGCGGAGATCAGCCCTCTCCTTCAATAGTTGATTTGTAGCACACGTCAAATAGATAGACGTCAGA